GTAAGCGTTTAGTATCTCGACAGCGTCGGCGGCGCTTAGCTAGCCGTCCGCGTGAGAGCGTTCATAAATCTCCACCCGCGAGGGTTTGTCTTATCTTTTACACAGCAGTAGACTCAACCACATTACTGCTGCAAGCGGCTGGCCAACAAAAACGTGCCAGCCCCGACATGATAAAGCGCAGATGGTGATTTTTTTGATCCACGCCCCCCCCCCCCCCGACAGGAGCACCGCGAGGAGGACATGAAGCCATTCCTGCCATCTACAATACTGTACAAGGCCTTTCGCCATTCTCCTCCTTCCCTCATTTTTTGCTCTCGGGTTTTTGCTAAATGCCATGTTCGGCATTTCACGAAGTTACCAATTTTTCATCATGTTTTTATGCGTTGTTGACCCACCGAGTATAATGGGGAAATAAACCCCTTACTACTGCCATGATTTTCTGGCGTATGTCATTGTATGATTGTCACGTGGCAAAGGCAGTGAGGTGTTTCGTGGTAGAGATTGCGGCGACAGCACACGCAGTTGGCCGCCAGTTCGCGGCCAAACGGAGAACTGCTGTTGGGGGGATCAACAGGGTTTCACAAGCGCGCGCACAGCTTCTCGCCCCTGTTCTCGCCAAGATGATGCGGCAGTGGACTTATGTTCCTGGCCGGCACAGCATGTTACTAAGTACTCAGCGCCACAAGTCATATGGCTGAATCTAAAAAAACCGTGGTCGACTGAATCAGTAAGAAGGCACGATACCGGCGAGGTGTTTACTACTGTAGTTGTGACAGCAAGGGAGGCGTGTTTTTTTGTTGTTGTTTTGTTCGTAAGACGACAAGTGCGGTGAAGCTGCTGAGGGTTGTTGAGACACCGCAACTCTCGATATTCCTCGCTCTCTTGGTTGTTAAAGTACATGTATGCATCATTACCAATTCGCAACGGGTTTGTAGGGAAAGGCAAAGGCAATGGACAGCAGTCTCTCTAAATGTAGAGTTGATATAACAATTGTGCTTGGGAAGCTCACTTGCCCTTCATACATCGGTTAGAATGTTAGAATGTTAGAATAAGCTACTACCAAACTGCCTTGTTGAGCCTGTTAACCCACAGGGGAGATGTCGCTGTGTGCTGTTCGGGAAATCGTAGACACACAGATAGCCCTTCGCTGACGCTATGGATTCAATGCCAATCTATCTTAGACTTTTTTCTATAGAAAGAGATGGATCTTTTGTGTCATAGTAAGAAAATGTGTCATACTAAGAAAAAAAATAAAAATAAAAACAAGCAACGTGAGTTCCGGCGTAAAAATGTGTGCGGGTCGCCGCTGAGATCTACCACCATCTTGCGGCAAAAAAAAAAACACCTCCCCCATGCTGCCCCCTCACGGGGTCCCAGTTCATCGCAGATAGAAGTGTTTTGTGTTTTCAACCGCACTGAGACTGACGTCTTTTCATTGGTCAGCCGGCTAGCGCGGTCGATGCTAATAAAAAAGACATATACAACACCGCCGTGTGATGGTATCTGTCCATGCTCTTGACTCTTAACGGCGGGGGATGGGGTGTGGCATCTAGTCAGTGCTGTCGGTGTTGGCGTTTTCAGAGAGACAAACGAAAGCGAGGTGCCGTTGAGCTCGACCACTACAACTAAAGACGCGATCAGTAGTCGAAAGGCTCTCGCTGCTGACAGAGAGTGGCAGGCAGACCGCGGAAAATACATGGTTTCGTCGCAATCTTCCGCAGTCGGAACTCGCGGCGACCGGTAAGGCGTGGGCACCCGGCCTGGACAACCGACACGCCGTTCGAGCCAAGCTGGCAGGTACAACAAGCAACACCCCTTTTCCCCTCTCCCGCACTATGTATTGATGTACATGAACAATGTCGCGTTTAAAATCCACGTGCATGCTGGCTGCTTGCTGGTCACCCACCCACCCACACGTGTGTTACTGATCCCTCCCTACAACCGCTGGTGTGTGTTTGTTGGAGAGGAAATCGTAACATTTATTGCCTAACTTGTGAGCGTGGCATCGACCTCACCCGTAGAAAGTATGTACACACACGGCGAGTCCTCTCTCCGAAAGAGAAGTCAACGCCGATCCACATGCATGGGTGGGCCCACAGGGAGATTACCTCTCTCCCCACCAATCACATGTGGCCAACACCCCCCTCTATTCTCTAACGCCGGTCTTTTCTCTCTCTCGACGCCCCTCTTTTTTTTCTCATGGTTGAAAAAGGCTCGGATCCGGGGGCGCCAACAACGCCAACACCGACGCAACCAGCAGATTCGTTCGCTACCAGGCAGGGTACATGCTACGAGGAGGTCGTACGCGGCGCCCGCGAGCAGAACGCCAAAGGCTTTACACCCCCAACAACAGCAGCAGCAGGAGGGAAAAAAAAGGGAGATGGGAAAGAGAGAAGGGCAGAGCACGTGCGCCATTTTCCGTAACCCCAAACCAAAAGCTTATCGACTCCACGTGCAACGTGTTTCCTTACCTCACGACGGGTGGTGACACACGCCGAGGGCTGTAGGGGGTGGCGTTCGTTACTCCTCGCCTTCCAAGCGATGACGTCCGGTGTGTTTCACCCTTGAGTGCCGACACAGGGAGACGGAGAGGACGAGGCCTCGCCCGCCTTTTTTTTTAAGACGAAGGGGGGGGAGGGTGTCAAGAACCACCTTGCTTGATGATTTCGCGGAGCGTCTTTGGAAGAAGTCGAGCGCAAGCCACGGCCACCACAAATGAATTGCTCTCGACAGCGGTAAGCTCTCTGTACGTTTACCAGCAAGATTGGTAGCTCGAAGTTTAGCGAGAGGTGCGTGTTCTTGGTTTCCCACATTTATTCCTATACACTTACCTTGTGGGTTGCAGTATGATCATCACTGCTGTCTCTCACTGATGCTGTCCATCACGAAGAGCCACTACCTATACTATAAACAACGAGTGTGCTGCTGCAACTCTCTATACACCCCGGTGAGGCACAGCGTGTCCTTTCAATGTCTAACTATTTAGTCTACACGCTGAACGACCGACAACACACCTTTCGGTACACATGACGCACCAGCAAGGGAGCAGACTAGTCCACTCTCTCTCGTCGTTGTGGGGCTAAAAATAAGTATGTCGTCAATAGGGACACCCCAAAAAATATGGTACTGCATCAACTGCATTTTTTTTTTAGATTACTGCTGTACAGTAGAATCCGCGCAGCGGGGTTTCAACGCTGTTCACGTTAAATCAAGTGAATGCATGTCGAAGTTCGCCGAGCGCCAAACACCGCTCTCAATCAACGCACTTACTTCCTGACTTCACACTTGCTCGCAATGGGTACATGTAGATGGAAGTAGCGTTTTTGACGGGTGCACGGGAGGAGGTGTGTGTGTGACAAGTTCAACCTCACTTGTTGTGTTCAACCACAGGTAGGTCTTTGGTCGAACATAAATAGTTGTGGTTAATCCGTCTGAGAAAGCTTTTCTAGATTACTGGGAAAATCTATGATCTGTTTCCCACCGAGGGTCTGCAATTAACGTTTTCGTCGACCTGTTATTGCATGCTTCTTGTGTTGCTGGCTTTTGAAATAGACCCAAACTACAAAAAATCATGATCTGCAAGCAGATTTTGTTTGAGCCCCAAGATACTTACCAACAATCCGGGTGGGGCGATTGCTCACCAAACAACAGGAAACATCGAGGAGAACTCACACGCTTGCGACAGCACAACATGATGTCGACACTCCCCGTTTCCTGTCCATCCGTCCGCCACGCACATATTGTGCTATCCAATCGGGGCCTCGGCCAGAGCTCGCCCTCGGCCACACCCGCCCCAAAAAAGTCGCTGCGACAAGAGCAACCGCGAACCTCTACGGTGCGGCAAAGAATGCCGACGATCAAAACAAAACCTGAAACTAACTCTACACACACTCGGCCAGGAAAACAAATCCTGCGATTGTCTGTCTTGTTCATGTATGTATGCTGATATCTATCACACCCTTATTTAGTTGTGTAAATGGGTCACACGTGTCACGGCATTTCGTCTACTACGACCCCCCCACCCCCAAAAGCAGCAATCAGCGGCATAACAACAATCCCCAAACTGCTTGCCTGCCCACCCACCCGTCCACGTACCGGCCCGAGAACCTTGAACCGCTGTTTCTCACCCGCATAAAGTAGCTGGAAAAGAGTGGCAGAGTCACCTAATTCCCACTCCCCCCAACACGCCCGGGGGGGCGGGGATGTGCTCATGTAAATCCAAGCCGTAATGGTTAGACCATTGACCTCGCATCCCTACAACGCCGGGACGGAGCTATATCGCCGGAGTTTTGCCGGCACGCCAGGGGGGCGGGGGCAGGGGGGGGGCAACGCTCCGGCGGGCTCCTTGACAGTCCCGGAAGCCCTTAATCGGTGGGTTGCACCGCTGCAGACAGGTCACCCCGCCCCGACCAATCGTCGCCGTCCACGGACACAAAAGATCTGCCGCTTAGCAGAGAAGGCGCGATCGACCATCAAGAGTGGTAAGTGGTTATCCTTTGGTGCTGCGGAGCCCGGTGCCTGGCGCATCGGGTCGGCTTCTTCACGCCCGGGGGGCCGAACGTGGCATTTTCCTCGCAGCCGGCCGCCGCGCAGCGAGCGGCGAAGACGTTTACCATGCCTGGGGGGTTGTTGTTGTTGTTGGGGGGGGGGGGGGGGGT